TCTAATTTGGGTTCTTTTTTTATCGAAATTAGGCCAATGTCCATTCAATTTCAAAATTCATAATTTTTATAAAATGAATGCACATTTCAAAATTTAACCTGGTTAAGATTTAGAAATACTTACACTCCTATGCATCTTTCTGGATCCGTCTGAATGTCTAAATTTTTTTGTACACACGACATAATTAATTAAAATACTTCGAAATACTAAAAATTAATTTAATCAAATTATAGGTTCTAACAACCACCCAACAGAATACCCGAAATTATTGAAATCCGTATCCAAAAAATCTTTCGGCTCCCCGTTCGGCGAATCAGATTCATATTTTTCGAGAAAAACTTTTTAGCTTTTCGGACAGCAAATCAAATTTTCGTTTCCCAATGAAGACTTTTCAGCTTCATGAACAGCGAATCAAAACTCCAAAATGGTGGATCGAGTTTCCATGCTCAAGGAAGACCCTTCGGCTTCTCGAATGGTTGGTTTTCCCCATTTTTGAGGAAACTTCCTTGGTTCCCATGGGGGTAGGTGGCCTAGCCGAGCCCGCGCGGCCAGCCCGACACTAACCCCGCCCCACCACCGCTCAACCACCCCCAAAACTTGAAAAAAAAACTATTTTACCTTTCAGTGTGGGCAATTTGGCCTCGGCTCAGCTCCCGATCGCCTCCTCTCGATCACCCTGCGGTCCTTTAACTCCTAAACCTGCACATACACACATACATGAACACTTGTTTGGTCAAAAACACAAATTAAAAGAAGAAAAGGAACGCACCTAACTCGGGTGCAGTGTTCGAAAATCCAAATAGCCTCGGGTTTGGATTTCACCATCACACGGTGCTCCTCGGCCGCGATTCCCTTTCTTCTTCTTCCTCATCTGCGGTTCTCTCTCTCTCTCTTCTCCCCTTGCACAACTGTTCTCGGTTTCCCTTCCTCCCCCTTGGCCACTCCTTTTCTCTTCCCTTTTTCTCTCCTTTCTTTTTCGTTCCCCTCTTCCCTTCCAGCATCTCTCTTCTTTCCTCTCTCTTTTCTCTCTTTCGACTTCCCCGTGCAACTGCCTTCTTCCTCCTTTCCCCAATTGCCTCTTTCTCTCTTTCTCCCTTCCTCTTTTCAGTTTCTCCTCTCAAAATGAAAAAAAAAAACCTTAATCTCTTCCCCTTTTATATCCGTTCCCTCAACTGTTGGATCTTCATGACTCGATCTAGACCGTTCATTTTCTTTTAAATCTCCTCCATCGATCTCATCAAGCGGTCGGATCTGGGTCATTCATTCTCCTGATTTCTCTTGTCCCCTTTTATTTTTTTTTATTTATGTTTTTGCTCTCCTTTTTCTTTCTCATTTTCATTTTCATTTAGGTCCCTGAGATTAATTAAAAACCTCAAAATTTAAAAATTCCTTTTATTTACATCCAAACTCCAATTTTATTATTATTATTTTTTTCTCTTAGGTGCATATTACAATTATTAAATTTATAATTATGGCAATAACTTAGTTAAGTGTATCTTTTATCATTAAACTTAATAATTTTTAGAAAAAGAAAGAATGGCAACGTTCACTTTCGTTTTTAAAATGATCAGTAAACAATAATTATATTAATTTTCACTGTTTTCATGTTCAACACCTTTCTATTTGCTGAGCTCTTAGTCTGAAGTTGCCCATTTTGTGATGGTCGTTCAATCCATACTTGTCTAAGTGCCCGATTTAAAAGAATTTTTGTTTACCTTTAAAAAATGAGAAAAAAACAAAAGTTATACTTGGTCCCATAGGTAAAGTTTTGGCCAAGTTAAATAATAATATAATTTGTAGCTACTCGCATATACTATTTTTATTTTAGTAATTGAGTGAAAAATACTCAAAACGGAATGATTAAATTCTATTAAAAAATATTATGTCATGTAATAATTAATGCATACGCATATAATTTGTGGTCTTTGAGTAAATATAATTGTAATTATTAGTTTTAACAATAATAATATTTACTGTTGCTATTAAATTATTACAGATTAATTTAGAAAAAATTACAGTACATTCACGTACATGTTTCAACCTTCTAAACTAAGCCTAATATTTCGTATATATGTTTGTTTAATAGCTTCTATAACTAATTATATATTACTTTCCGTTATTCTAAAAAAATAATTCGATTATCACGTGATAAACAATTAAAAGTTTCTTCTTGCTAAAGTAAATTAACATATATTTTCAAATTGTTATTTCAAAAATAATAAAATAAGAATTTGTTTCGATTTTTTTTATTTTTTTGGGTGCTTTGAACTACTCATAAATTTTTCCTCCTAAAGAACTTTAAGTTTATAGAGCTTTAAACTTGAAAAATCTTAGATCAAAGTATTTATTTTTCAAGTGTTACTAGTTGCTCTTTTAATTTAAAAATAGAAGTTAATATTTTACTAAGCCATAAGAAAATTAGATAAAAAAAACTAAATGCTAAAAAAAGTGATTAAGTCCTAAATTTTATTTTGTGTTAAAAGTTCTTCAACTTTTACTTCAAATAAATTTATAAACACTCTATGTATTTCGTAATTTTTTGAATAAAAATTTATAAATTTTAGTAATTAGAAGAAATTTAACAAAATTAATTTTTTAACAAAAAATAATATAATTAATTTTTTAATGATAACACATTCAAAACTCGCAATTTAACTTAAACTTATAATTTTATATAAAATAATATAAATACTAACATTAACCTCTCTCTCTTTTTTTTTTTTTTTTTAAATATGTTTTTAAATAATTTTTGTTTGATAAGAAACCAATATATACAAATACTGAATATATGTTTAATCTACAAAGCTTTTATTATTTTGGCAAATTTGGTAAGAAAAGCTGTCGCATTTATTTTTTATACAATGGAGTAGTTGCTTTGAGCTTCCTCACCTTCATCTATAAATAACACCCTCCTCCTCTGCGCAAAGGTATTACTCTTTCAGTAAGCCCTGTTGTTTTTTCCCTTTTGAAGCGTACGTCAATCTATTTATTTATTTCTTTTGCAGTTCAGGGTTCCCTACTCTCTCTCTCTCTCTCTCTATATATATATATATATATATATCTATTTATCTATCTCTATCTTTTCATCTCTCTAAAAGCTAGCTACTTCGTTTTTCCTCAAAGAAGAAGGATGGAGACCTTACCTGAACCAAGAAACAATAACCTACCCAACTTCTTCCTCTCTGTTAGGCTGAAATACGTGAAGCTTGGTTACCACTACTTGGTCTCCAATGCGTTGTACCTCTTCTTCTTTCCTCTCTTCACCATTATATTAACTACTCATCTCTCAACATTCACCATTGACGATTTCATTGAGCTAAGCAATCACATGATCAAATACAACTACATGGTCTTCATCCTGGTACTTATTTCTTCTGTTTTCTTGGCCACCCTTTACTTCATGAGCCGTCCAAGAAAGGTTTACTTAGTAAACTTTGCGTGCTACAAACCAGACCAGTCTCAAATATGCAGCAAAGAGCTTTTCATGAAGCTCTCTAAAGAGGCAAGGTGCTTCACCGAAGAAAATATAAGTTTCCAAAAGAAAATCCTGGAGAGGTCAGGTTTTGGACAAAAGACATATGGACCCATAGCCTTGATGCAAGAAAACCCTACCCAGTGCATGGCTGCGTCGAGGAAGGAGACAGAGACAGTGATGTTTGGAGCCATTGATGAACTGTTGGAAAAAACTGGAATAAAGGCTAGAGATATCGCCATTCTAGTAGTCAACAGCAGTTTGTTCAATCCAACTCCTTCTCTTTCTGCTGCCATTGTGAATCGTTATAAGCTCAGAGGAAATATCCTGAGCTACAATCTTGGGGGTATGGGTTGTAGTGCTGGTCTCATCTCTATCGACCTTGCAAAGCAACTTTTACAGGTGGGTTTTTTTTTTTTAATTTTTTTAAAGAAAAATAGATTTTCGATAATAATAACCAGAAAATGTACAAGTTATTACACCAACATTTACGTACAGGTCAGTTAATTACATCACATGCATATCTTTCTTTCTAAATAAATTCATACAGACTTTGTCTTAGATTTTTTAAGTATAATAATCATCATCTAAGTTTCCCAGTATTGCATAGTGCGTCCCTGCGTCAAATTAAATGCACTTGATCAATATACTAAATGCATGTAAGATATTTATTGGATACTTGCATCATAACATAGGTGTAGGGTCTTGTTGGGTAAAATTGCATTTATTTATTACAAATATTAAAAAGTAGTGATGAAGTACAAAAAAATCTAAACAAATTAAAATTAAAATTATAGTAATCATCAGATTTTATTTAAATATTATTTTTTATCATTTAACTAATGACTGATTTCTATAATAGGTGAATCCAAACTCTTATGCCTTAGTGGTTAGCACAGAGAACATAACCCGGAACTGGTACTTCGGTAACTATCGTCCCATGCTCGTGACGAACTGCTTGTTCCGTGTGGGCGGTGCAGCAATCCTTCTCTCCAACAAGTCATCAGATCGTCGGCGGTCGAAGTATCAGCTTATTCACACTCTCCGTACACATAAAGGCGCCGACGACAGATCTTACAAGTGTGTTTTCCAGGAAGAAGATGAAAACCAAAACGTCGGCGTTTCACTGTCAAAAGACCTAATGGCTGTAGCCGGAGAAGCTCTTAAAACCAACATCACCACTCTGGGTCCACTGGTTCTACCCATGTCGGAGCAACTCCTTTTCTTGGCAACTCTTGTAGCAAGAAAGTTCCTGAAGATGAAGGTGAAGCCATACATCCCTGATTTCAAGCTAGCTTTTGAACATTTCTGTATTCATGCAGGAGGGAGGGCGGTATTGGATGAGATAGAAAAAAACCTTGAACTCACTCCATGGCATATGGAGCCTTCTCGAATGACTTTATACAGATTTGGGAACACTTCTAGCAGTTCTTTGTGGTATGAACTGGCTTACTCGGAGGCCAAAGGAAGGATCAGAAGAGGTGACCGGATTTGGCAAATCGGATTCGGGTCGGGCTTCAAGTGTAACAGCGGTGTGTGGCGTGCGCTGAGATCCATCAACCCTGCTAAAGAAAGGAACCCTTGGATGGATGAAATCGACGAGTTTCCCGTTGACGTGGCAAAAACTTCCACAATTAATAATTAATACCACATTTAATTAGCTATCTCTGTTCTTTTTGCCTTTTTTATTTTTATTTTTATTTTATTGGTATTTGTTATGCTTAATTTTAAGGTACATGTGCAAGTTTCAATTATGTCATCGTCTTAATTAAGCTACTCCAGCGATTACATGCGCAAAAGTTTGGGTTTATGTATACGCTGATTGGTCAAATATAATGTATTTGACTAAGAAAAAACAAAACGTAAAAAAAGACACGCTTTGCTTTTAAAATTTCTTGGCAAGAATCACACTACCTTAATTAATGATTAATGGTCACCTTTTTGGAATTTTTCAAAATAAAATTCAAATATTAAAAAATAATCAACCCAAAAACTAAATATCTTTTACAAACATTTATATATTTCAAAATTTTAATTAAATATACATTTAATGTTTTGATTCTAAATTTTAAGAACAAATTTCTTTAATTTACTTAATTTATTAGTTTTTACTGAATGATCGTAGCTTCTAACCTCATCCATGCTGTAATTGTCTAGTACTGATGAATATCGAAGACAAAAATTTTGTTGAAAACCAATAATTAGACATACACCACATCAGGGATAGAAACTAGAGGGGACCCGAAGGCATGAAAAACATGGGCATGCTAACCTTTTTTTTAGTACACTGATATTGTTGTTAACTAGTCTAAATCACGAGATTTTATTTTATTTTTTTTTTTAAATATATATAAGCTTTTATTTAAAATTAAGTGGCTATACAATACCACCAGTGTGAATATTGATCGACCAAAACCGATACCACTATAAATCTAATTAAAGCTTAGACAATTTAACTGAAAAGGAAGAAGAACAAGAAGTTTCGTGCGCTCAGATCCTCTGCCTCATTAATATAGTTGTAAACGAAATATTTTATATGCACATAATTTTAAATTATAGAACCAAATTATTACTTATATTTAAAGCTTCTTACTTTTTCAACATATTACCAAGGTAAGTTTGTACATGTTGCTTCTTAATTTTCAAAAGGAAAAAATAAGTTAAAAAGTTTATTAATTTATTTTGTTATTATATTTTATCTAAAAAATATGAAATAACGATAAATAACAAAATTTGTAGTTTTTCTGTATGTATAATTTATAGTTTTAGAATCAAGATTTTAGCTTATATAACTTTTATTACTTTGTAACGAATGCCTATACATACATCAACCAACCATTGTTTTTTCATATTTTAAATTGGAAATCATATTTTAATTTTTCTTATTTAGCTTTGAAATTTATTTTATTTCTCGTCTTTCAACTTTTTTTTTTCAATTAACTTTTTTAATCTACTTTTTTCAAAGGAGAAAAAAGATTAATAAAAAAATTTATTAATAGATGCATAACTAATTGACAAGAAAATCCCATGTTGGAACCCCATATGGTTGTTCAATTGGAAGTGTTCCTATGTAATACCCAGCTGCTGCCCAGCTGGGTACAAAAGAAAAGAGTACAAAAAAAAAAAAAAAAGCAAAACATGTGGAGTACATATACATATATATATATATGTATATGTATCTATATATATATAATTAAACAAAAAAAATAAAGAAAGAAAAAAAAAAAGAAGAATCCAGAGGTGCACTCTGGGAGCAGAAGAAGGAAACACATAACCATAATATATATATATATATATATATATATATATATATATATGTATACATAAGTAATGAAAAAGCAGAAAAAGAAAGAAAGAAAAACAAAAGAAAGAGAGGAAAGAGAGCGAGGAGACAGAGAAAAGGTGGAGCGGCATCGATGGGAGAGAGAGAAGGGTCGCACGGTGTTGTGGGACGCCACGACCGAGAGAGAAAGAAGAATAGGAAGAAGGAAGGAGAAGAAGAAGTATTAAGATTAATCAGAAGATTTATTAAGATTAGTTTGTGTTAAACTAAAAAATAGAATTAGTTATTTGTAATGTAACCGTTTTAGTTTTCTTCTGCTAGTATACAGCACCAGATGGCAGTATATGTATTCCAGTAGGCTGTAAAAGGTGAATTCAGAGAGTTTGTTTTCTTCATCATGCTGCTCTCTCTTTGCTCCATTTTTGCTCTCCTTTTCTTTTCTATTATGGTATCAGAGCATATTAATTAACCAATATATATAGCGCAGTGATTGAGCTCCAAAACATTTAATCTCCAATGGCTAGAGATCAATCAGATGACCTCCAAAACCCGTTTTTCCTTTACAGTGCCAACCATCCCGGTTTAGTCTTGGTGTCCAATCTTCTCGATGACAACAATTACAACACATGGGAGAGAGCAGTCAGGATAGCACTGAACGCCAAAAATAAATTGGGCTTCATAGATGGAACCTACGATCAACCGAGCAACACCGACTCCCATGCCGCAGCTTGGTCACGTTGTAACAGCATGGTAATTTCTTGGCTGCTGAATGCTGTAACAAAGGAGATAGCTGACAGCTTGTTATACCATGAAAGTGCACAATCTATCTGGACCGATTTGCAGCTTCGTTATCAGCAGAGCAATGCACCGCGTATCTACCAACTGAAACAGAGCGTGAACAACCTTGCTCAAGGGTCACTCAGCATCAACGCATATTATACACGAATGAAAACAATCTGTGACGAACTCAAAACTTATCAACCGGCTCCAACCTGTCACTGTGGAAACATGAAGGCGTGGAATGATTATTAAGAGAAAGAGTTTGGCATGACTTTCTTAATGGGATTGAATCCCTCCTATGCTGCTGTTTGAGCCCAAATTTTGATGTTGGAATGTTCTCCGTCTATTTTGAAGGTCTTCTCGCTGGTGGTACAAGAAGAGCGGCACCGTATAATCGGCTTCGACGCACACGCAGAAACGGGTCAAGGGTCTGGCTCTTCCGTTGCCCTAACTCAAGGTAGGAGACGACCCACCTGTTCACACTGTGGACTTATGGGCCACACTGTGGACAGGTGTTACCGTCTGCATGGCTACCCACCGGGTCTCAAGCCCAAGCCCAAAATACATTCACCGAGTCTCTGCAATGCTTCAGTTGTTTTTAATGATGGACATGTCCAAACACAAGCCCAAGCCCGCAACACCTCAGCTCAGTCTCGGCCCACTCCTGGAACCAGATCATTTAACCCAACTGGCCCTCAATCCAGGCCCGTTTTTTCCTCTGCCAACCAAGCCTTGGCCCATGAAGAATTTTTTCCAGAACACAGGTCTTCGTCCTCCTCGGGCACGCATCTGATTGCGCGACCAGTGCAGAATTTCACTTCCTCTTTCGACGCACGCTTACCGGCATTTAATTCCGTTGCTTCCGTCGATGACTTAAGCGCATCGCAAATTCAGAACATTATTGCTCACCTAAGTGCACGTCTCCACCAACCGAACTCCATCATCTCACCAGACAGCCTCTCTCTCTCTCCACAAATCACGCGGTAGGTATATCCTCCACACCCTTCTGCCTTTCCAATTTCACACACACACTTACCTCTGAATGCTGGATCATTGACTCTGGAGCCACACATCACATTTTTTGCATACCCACCCTTTTCACAAATCTTAAACATGTTGAACCCATCCCAGTCACTTTACCAAATGGTAGTTCAGTGTTAGTCAATCAAGTTGGAAATGTACTCCTCACCGACACTCTAACTCTACATGATATTCTATTTGTTCCTCATTTTTTCTTTAACCTTGTCAATGTCAGCATGTTGACCACTACCCACAACTGCACGATTAATTTTTCTCTTCATTATTGTGTCATCCAGGACCGCACTCGGGACTTGTTGATTGGGAAGGATAGACGCATTGACAACCTCTACTACTTAACTACTACATAATTTCCTTTTCCTGCTGTTAATTATGTTTCCACTAACTCTAAAAGTAGCATATGGCACTTTAGAATTGGTCATTCTTCCTATGTAAAGCTTCAGTATATTAATAAAGATTTACAGACTTCGAATATTTCTCATTGCGAAATTTGTCATTTAGCTAAACAACATAAATTGTCTTTCGTTTCTAAAAATAAATTATCTGACCATCCATTTGATCTAATCCACATCGACATTTGGGGTCCCTTCTCTACACCCACTATCGAAGGATACAAATATTTTCTTACAATTGTTGATGATTGCATTTGGACTACTTGGGTGTATCTCCTTCGTCAGAAGTCCGACATTCTTACCATTTTTCTTAATTTTTATACTCTAATCCTTACACAATATAAAACTCTCATTAAATTTGTGAGATCTGACAATGTGCATGAGTTGAATTTCTATTCATTTTTCAAGTCAAAAGGCATTGTTTCTTATCATTCTTGTGTTGAGACTCCCCAACAAAACTCTGTTGTCGAACGAAAACATTAACACATTTTAAATGTTGCACATGCCTTACTGTTTCAATCCCATGTTCCCATTGTGTATTGGGGCGATTGCATCTTGACTGCTGTTTACCTTATCAACCATACACCTTCTCCTTTGTTATCTAATAAAACTCCCTTTGAACTATTAACTCACAAAAAATCATCCTATGATCATTTGCGTACCTTTGGTTGTCTATGCTACTTCTCCACTCTCAATAGTCATCGCCATAAATTTTTACCTCGCTCTAGGGCTTGTGTCTTCCTCGGTTACCCTTCGGGTTACAAAGGATATAGACTTCTCGACATCGAGAGCAATCAAATCATCATCTCTCGTAATGTCATTTTCATAAACATATCTTTCTATTTCTTTCATCCCACTCACCTGATCCTATTCACAGTGACTTTTTTCATGACCGTGTTTTACCTCTTCCTCTCCATACGCCTACACACTCATCAGTTCTCTTGATACACCTATCCACTCACAATATGAGTCTTCCCAAACACTATCATCTCGCCCACTACGTGTAAGACGACCACCTTCTTATTTGTCTAACTATCACTGCTACCATATAGATACACATGCACTTTATCCCATTTCTTCCTTCCTTACTCATACAAAACTTACACCTTAATATCAAAACTTTATTTGTGCCATTTCCTCCCACACTAAGCCTACAAACTTTTCTGAGGCTATCCAGTCCGATGTTTGGATGAATGTGGAGCTACGTGCCTTAGAGAACAATAACATTTGGTCTATTGTTTCTCTCCCACCTGGGAAGAAACTTGTTGATTGTAAGTGGGTTTATAAAGTTAAATATCAAGTTGAT